AAAGGAATACCAATCCTACTGTTTCCGAGTGTACGTTTAACCAAAAAATAGCAGTCAATGTCGTTCTGCCTCTTAGTTGAATGAGCTCTCGCGTGTGTGCGTGTTCATGTGTGTGTGCACACATGCACATGTACACATGTGTGTATCAGTTTGTTTGCCTGTTTGTATTTCTTTCCCATGGAGGAAATGAAGATTTTAAAAAAAAATTTCCCAACACGTTAGCCAGCCATACTCCAGCTCTTGGACCTGCACCAAAAGGTGGGATGGTGGTGGTAGAAAAAGTTGAGACAGAGAAGGGTATAGGAATTCTCTCTAGATTCCATCTAAGGCCATTTTAGTTTTGATTTCTAGAAGACTCTTGTCCATATTATTTCATATAAACTCAGAGCAGGTGTTTGACAACTGCTGTCTGCATTTAGCGCTTCATATTGAGCTGCGTTCTTCAGTGAAGGGCAGGAGTGATGCTAATCTCTTCCCTAATCTAATATGGCCATCTGCATGAATCTTGGTTGCCCCACTTCAATTAACTACATTAAGCAGTCCACGATGCCTGGGTGTTTTATTAAGGAACATTTTTTATGGAGTGGCTTATTAATAAATTATCAGGAATGAGGCAAGGGACAGAACTCCCGTGGAAGGGTTTAGATGGAAGAGATAGGAGCATCAAAGAGGCTGTTTTATTAGGACACCCAAGTTAAAAATAAAAAGATGTGTTATCCGAATCCTCCCTTGGGAATCATAGCGGATTTGTTTCCTTATCTTCCAAGCTTTTTCCAAATCTTAAGAGCATCGTTTCGAAGGCAAATAATGAGACATCTCCCGAATTTTTTTTTTGAAATTATTATCAGCTATGAAACACCTAATTATTGCTAGCTTTAAATAAATTTGGTCTTATTCCATTATTTCCATGGCATTTTAGTTTCCCCTTTTCCTCAGTGTTTTTAAACTTTCAGCATTTGATGATAAAGTGATTGGCTGTCTCTCTCCTCAGCACTGTGCCTTCGCTAAGCACTGCCATCGCACTTAAGATTATTGACCTGACGGAACTGAGCATTGGTACCAGATTTAAATTGCAAATTCACCACCTTTTACCAAAAATTGCAGGGGTGTGGTAAGGGTGAGAGTTGTGATGGGGGAAGAGGAAATAAAGCATGTATCCCTTCTATTTTCCTGTTGCCAAAGTTTTTGACATATAGAGCCATCTAAGCCATCTTTTAAAATCCATGTCTGCTCATGTCACTCTGCTATTCATAAGATTAAATGAATTCCTGTTGTCAGTTGGAGAGGCAAGAGAATGCGACAGCCTGGAACCCAGGAGTCAGCTGGTTTTGGTTTTAAATCTAACTCCCCTATTGACTGATTTTGTGGCCTCAAGCAAGACACCTAACCTCGCAGTGCCTTTCAGTTTCCTCATTGGTAAAACCACCATAATAATACTGCCCATGCTTAAGGCTGTTATGTAGATTGAGTGAGTTAATGTCAGTAAAGAGAGCAGAAAAAATTCCTTGCATATTGTGTTATTGTTGGGGTTTTTTAATTGCCATTTAAGATTTGCAGCCCTCTAAGACTTGACTCTATCCAATCTTTCTAACCTTATTTTGGGTTTTCATTCTTATTTTGGGTTGTAGCCTCTGCCTACAATCACCACACTAACTCATTCACTCTGGGACTTGTCCAATATCTTCCTGCTCATTTACTTGCACAGTTTCCTCCAATTGGATTAATTTGTGTTCACCTGCTGAAACCTGCTCAAAGGACATTATTTCATTCTTATATACATTGGAGACTCCAAAAGGGGGAGGGTAGGTGGAGGATGAGGGATGAAAATTTACCTATTGGGTACCATGTGTACTATTCAGGTGATGGGTAAAGTAAAAGCCCAGACTTTACCCCATGAAATATATCCGTGTAACAAAACTCTACATGTACCCCTAAAACTATAAAAATAAAAAATTTTTGAAAATCCTGCTCAAGCTTTAAGCACTCACTGAGGTGCATTTTTCTTAAGAATGTTCACGACACAAAGAAATGATAACTGTTCGAGGAAATGGATGTGTTCATTACCTGGATTTGATCATTACACATTGTATACATGTATTAAAATATTACTTTGTGTCTCATAAATATGTGCAATTATTATGTGTCCACTAAAACTCTTTTTAAAAAAGGCTTTCTGCAGTCCCTTCCTCCTCAATCAAAATGAATATTTTCCTCGTTGGGTTCAAAGAATATTGAAAGTGCGCCTCCATGTTAGCACTTATGGTCTGTGGAATTCATTGTACAGATGACTTTCTGTTCCCACAGGCCAGTGGTTCTCAACCAGGGCGATTTTGCCTCCCAGGTTGGGTGACTAACTCATCCTAGTTTTCCTAGGACTGTCTCAGTTTTAAAAGTGAAAGTGTCCCATCCCAGAAATTTCCTCAGTCCTAAATAATCTGGGACAGTTGACCACGCTACCTCCGGAAGACATTTACAATGTCTGGAGACATTGCTGCAGCTTGGGAGAGAGGATAAGTACTGTCATCTAGTGAGTAGAGATCAGAGATGCTGTAAACATCTGACAATGCACAGGGCCTCCCCGACAACAAAGATTAGCTGGCTCAAAGTGCCAGTAATGCCAAGGAGGAGAAACCCTGGCAGAAGCTATTACTCATCTTTGTAACGTTTAAGTAAGAGCCTGCTGGAATGACTTAATGAATGCAATTAGATTTTATCTCCCAATGAATATTAAATAAGTACTTATTTATCTCCTGATGTTTATTTAGGACATCATAAGTTTCTCTCTGTATAGTTACAGAGAGATAGTATCTGGTCCCATCCTTCATGGATTTTCAATATGGTTGGGACATAAGAATAATATTTTGAGGAAAATTAGAGAACAATTCCAGGCAAAAAGCAATTAGGTGTAAAGCAATCACAACAAACAATATGTGTTTAAGAATGTAAGTATGGGAGACAATGCTAGAGGAGAGAAAGAATATCATTGTCCCAAGTGACATGTTTAGCCCCTCCAACTCCTAAATCATATCACACTGTTTCAAATCCCATTTGCTAAGGGCTTGGTTGTCCAGATCGCGCAAACTTAGGTTCATAGAAATGCCAAGAAAGGAGTCCTGTTTGCCTTGTCAAAGCTCAATTTTGAAGAGCTCTTTTTCAACTGTTTTTGCTTCCCTAAACTGGTTAATAGCCCCCAAATCTTCCAGTCTATACACCTTAGAGTTCTCTCTAACTCTTATTCCTCTCTTCACCACCCTGTCCTCTTGCTTGGCAAGTTTTATCCATTCTACCTCTTCATTGTCTACTTTTTCTTTCTCCCCCTCTACACTCCATGTCACAGATATATCTTCAATTAAGTCTCATTTAGTACACTCCTTACAGTGTCTACTCCTCCACTCCGTGTCTCTTTTCCCTGGGGGAGAGTATTCCCCATGTACAACATAGGCCTCCCCATAACAAACGTCCTTCTCTAGTGTACCCACACATCCAAAGCCCCCCATTCATTCTGCTCCAGATTAAATATTTATTCTCTTTTTCAAATGATCTAGAAGGAGTATTTCCCTTCTCTCAACTTTTATAACACTCTCCTTTTGTTCACTTAACACCTTTTATACATAATATAATTATTTGTGCTCATCTCATTCAGATCTTCAGTATAAATTCTGTGTCTTTTACAATCCCAGCAGTATTTTTACCATAAGGATGTAGGACATTAGAGCCCTGATAATGATTATTGAGTGAATGATTAAAACAAGGATGAAATAAGTCCCCTTTCTTTTCATTCCCTCTTTCCAGAGACCCCTGGATTCCAGGAGTTCTTACAACTGCTGAAGAAATAGATCCCCTACTTCTTCTAAAAAAGATACAGAAAGTTTGTCCAGTTTAAAAAATTAATAACAGGATGATGACTGCACGTCTTTTGTGCCCTAACGATGGGCAAAATGTGACGTCTTGATTCCAGGAAATGCTTTCTGTTGGCTGCTTTAGCTTCCTTTTCCAGTCTCCATGCCACCGCCTTTGTCTTTGCAGACAGCCACCACTGCAGACCTCGGCGCTGCCTTCTCCAAGTCGTGCACTGATCTTTGTCTGGCCACCGTTCACACTGTTTTTTGTGAGGAATCTATGCACCCAATGTTGGGAGTGGAAAACTGAAATGTAAAAAAGTCTGGCTATTAGGCCTATTACATATGTGTGACTATGAACATCAACTTACCTCTATCACTTTAGAGACCTATTGACTACATATGGTGTGTTTTGTGAATATAAAATAAAAGGACTATCAATTTACCTTAGGTAACTACAAATCTATAAGAATTACAGGAAGAGGGGAAGGGAGGGATGGCCTTAAGTTGTCTGGAAGCAGGGAACAGCAAAACAGCTGAGGACCAGAAATTATCTCAAGTGCCCAGCAAAGTAAAACCATGCGAAATAGTTTGGAAGTTTTTCATTAATAGCATGTCCATAATATATAAGAAACAATATGTGATCATCTCCGACTTTAAAAACATGAATCACATATAGTATTTATTCCATAAGAAAACTTTAAAAATAATCAGGAATAAGAGCATGTCTACTAAATAACATGAAGTGGTCCTATGCTATTTTCAAACAAGATCCAATATCACATTTAACAATGTAATATTAGAGGAATTCCTATTCAAATA